TGTCCTTTGCACAGCACATGGGCCTCTGGTGGAGCGGAGTGGGATCTGACTGTGGAGTGAGTCCTGAAAATGCTCACCTTCCTACGTCCAGCTGTGCTGCTTTCCAGAGATGTCTGTCTGCCTTGTTTCATTAAAAGACAATGGATGCAAACTCTGGGGGGTGAAGGCATTTATGGGAGTGGGCGGGGGGGGGGGGGCAATGGTAAGATATGTACATTTATAATACCTTAATATAAAAAATTTTAAAAAAAGACAATTTGATTTCTGTTATTTGCAAATGTTTTTAGATGAAAAAAATATTTAATCTACTAAAGAAGCAAGCTGAGTTTCTGGGGAGCAATAAGTCTTCTCAAGGGTTTACCTGACTTTTTGGGGAACATTAATAAATCACCCTAAAATGTATGAATACCTCCAGCAATTTATGGAACACATCTGGGTGGGTATGTATTATATCCTAAAAAAATAAAATAAAGTAAATGCATATGGTCAATAGGTTTGGGAAATTCCAGTGGTGAGTAAAGTTGAATAGTTTGTTTATTGTGGGATTTCCTAAATTCTGTGACATGTTTGTAACTATAAGAGGGGGCCACAATATGCAGTGACTCAACAATATGTGGACTGAAGAAGCCTCTTCCATGAAACATGTGATGCAGGCTTAGTGTTCCTCAGAACATAAATTTTTACTAGTAGATATTTAAAAACTGATAGAATTTTAAATACTAATAAGGCAGTAATACACTATTTTTTTTTTACAATGAGGTATTCAATTCAAAAACATTTTTAAAGTGCTGTGATAGAAATATAAAGGGCAGGGAATTAGAGATAAGATAGTTCTTTAAAAATATATAAACCACCTATGACAGTGTGAATTATTCCCAACCCATAATTCTCAATTGTCAGAAGTTGATGTGATGACTGAGAATTAACAGGTTAAACCAACTACTGTGCTATTGTATGATGATTGCTATGTTAGATACACTGAGAGATAGATAATTACTCTACAATACTCAGCAGTTCAACTGAGGAACTAAGTTTAAATAAGTAGCCAGAAAAAAACAAGTCATTTTAATTGCCCACTTGAAAAAAAAAAAAAATGACGTCACCAGTTACCACTGTTTAATTTGTTGGTAAGTTCTTATCCTTTTACAGTAAATTCTTCTAAAAAGAAATATTTATTTAGTAGATAACAAAGTAGACAGGCAGACTGACATTAAGAGAGAAAAAGTTTTAAAATGCCATCTTATGTAATAAGAAAATGCCATAATTGTGAGAACATGTTCAGTTATGTGAGTGTTATTAAAATGGCATTTTTACTCCTAACTCTCATATAATAGACCAGAGGCCAAGTACACAAAATTCATGCACTCGGGAGTGGGGGTTGTCCCTCAGTCCAACCTTCACCTTCTCCAGTCTGGGACCCCACAGGGATCAGGCCTAAACTGGCAGTCAGATATCCTTCTCACAATCCGGAACAGCTGACTCAACTGCTTGCATGCCTGCTTCTCTGATTGCCCTTAACCACTTCTGCCTGCCAGCCTGATCACCCCCTAACCACTCTACTGCCAGCCTTATCGGTGCCTAACTGCTCCCCTGCCAGTCCAATTACTCCCAACTGTCACCCCCTTTTTCTCCCCACCCCCCCCCCCCCCGCCAACCCAGTTTCCCCCAACTTCCCTTTTCTGCCAGCCCTGTCACCCACAGCTGCCCTCCCCTGCAGGCCATCTTGTGGCAGCTATCTTGTACAAAGGTGTGATAGTCAATTTGTATATTACTGCTTTATTATATAGGTTGTTTTTACCAATATTTGAAAGATAGCTTATTTGTCATTCCTGTCTTATATAGATTTGCATATTTTTATATTTATCCTCATCTGAGACTTGTAACATTTTATACAGTTTTTAAGTCCTCCAAGTAAATTCCAATAAATTTGTATTTTGGATTAATCATAGGCCATCTGAATTTATCTGGGTTATGGTTTTAATAATAAGAGTACAATAGAATTTAATGACTCAGTTTCTAGAATCCCATGAATAAAATATAAAAGATGAATTTAATTTGCAAGACATTAATGAAGATGTTCTGTGCATCACCCTCCTGATATATTTTATAAGAAATCTAATTATTCTCATTATTATTATGAAAGCTGTAAAAGTCAGGTCATATATATTTGCATATGTTTTATTTTTTAATCACTTTGAGAGACTGCTCACTGTTCCTCCAGAGAAAATTCAAAGAAAACGAAAACTAGGTTTGCTTTTAGGTGATCCACACAGTATCTGAGCTAGCTTTGAACTTGACCATCCTGGCACTGTCAGGGATTGTTCGTCTTTCATCTTCAGAAATCAATGATGCAAGCACATTTGTTTCCTTTCCATTTGAAATATTCTATACTAGGTTAAACCAAAATGAAGTCAAGAAGATTTGGTTTTTTAAGACCAGCACTAACCAAGTTGGATACACAACACATTGCTCTCTGGTGTCAGATTCCAAAATCCTAAATATCAAAATAAACTTAAATGTTTTATTATAAATTTCCAAACACTTTGGAGAGTTCTGTAAGTGTCCTTGATTGAACAGCTGGGTTTCTCATTGTGCACATCCAAGTATTTGCTCATGAAATAACAGCAAAGGTATTGAAAAGACGGTACTAGCTAACCTTGTTAAGCATTGTATTTTACAAGTAACAACTCAGTTTTTCTGCAAAAATAACTCTATGAGTAGTGATGATGATGATGATGACTGTAGTACAGGGCCATAGCTGGTGCCTCTGCCTGCAGAGAGCTGCTGTTAGATTTGTGGTGCTGGACAAAGAAGGTAGATACTGAAGAGAGGAAGCTGCAGGACCAGAAATATACCCCTCACCAGGTTAGACTTAATCCTCTATGGGAAATGGTGAGAGTTTTCTCTCAACCTCTTCTTTTGAAGATGCCTGCATTTGACAAAAGCTTTTATTAAACACACACACACACACACACACACACACACACACACACACCACGATTGCCTTCTGGTTTAATAAATAACTTTATGTTTATATACCACAGGTTCAATTTTGCAATGCATTTCTATCAAGGTTCATTCTCTGAGCAAATTTATTTTTTCTTTCTATTTTAAACTGTTTTATCAAAAGTGGGATTGTCATTGATTTAAAACAATTTCATAACAGACATGTGTGCAAATGACAAATGAGAAATTAGGTTATATTTGAGAGGAAGCTCTGAACTGTGAGGGTCCCCAGGGTCATATTAAGAAAGTTCTCTTTTAGGACAGACACCCCCATTCTGAGGATAAGTTAAAGAATATGATGAGGTAGATTAATGGTGAGTGAAAAGCTCTTTACTGAGAATCTGTTTACTATGCCGTTTCCTTTTACTTTGCTTTAAAAATCAGTTATATATGCAGAAAGACATTGTCTAACAAAACAAAGGGCTCTGAATGAGATCACGCTAATAAAAATGTTGGTAGTTTATAATATAATGAAACTCCAATTTTAATTATAATATATTTTATGATGTTCTCAATTAAACAAGCCTTTTCAAAATCATTAGCTATTATCCAGAAACCTATAGATGCAAAACCAGAAGTTCAAGTCTCAATAACACTTCCTAAAATCTGTATTACTGCAGCATTGCGTCTATGAATAAGGAGGACTGCAGATTTCTAGAAAAGTTAAGACACTGCCTAAGCTGTGTATGGTTTATATAAATGTTCAAATCTAGGGCGTTGCAGTTCTTTGAAAAAATATTTCTGTCCGCTTTTTTGGAGATCTGACTCTCTGAGTCTCTTTGGAGGCAATGTGGTTTATTCAACACCATAAGAACTAAGAGTCAGAGGATTGTAATTCTAGTCCTCAGTGTTACACTAGCTAGTCACATGTCAAAAGGCAAAAAACTTAGGTAATTTTTTAATTTATTTTATTGCTTTTGAAATTGGGGGATAATATCTTTACTGTTTCCTATACTTTAAAAATTCAACTATCAAGATACAAAAGTTCTTTGAAGAGACAATTAGGATACACAAAGATAATATATGCTTCGATGGAGGGTGTGGGGGATTAGTTTATATAGTATTCATATTCACTGGATTTCATTGCATGCTTCCCTGTACAGCATTGTTAGGATCTAATATGTGCTTATATGTTGCAGTTATATGTTTACTTACTTATTAGAATATGTGTCCTTATTCTACTCTGCCCCGTGAATTGGAAATATCATTATAACAGAGGACACGTCTTTATTGTACAGAGTCCTATCCCCAGCATCCGTTCACTGATGAGCAGAGTAGATGCTCGGTAAATAGTTGTCAAATGAACGGAAGCATACCTTCTAAATGAACTCTGCATCTATAGTATACACTATACATTTGTATTTATTTCTTAAAACTATTAGAATCAACGTTGTTTTGAGGTTTGTTTTAGAGAGAATTTTGAAATTCAGATATACTACAAAATCAAATTTGGAAGTCATATCTATGAGTATTAACAAATTAGTGACTCTCTTAATAATCATTTCTCTTCTGACTTGGAACTCAAATATTATAATTCAAATAACTTATATGGAGGGGGGAAGTTTGATAGCAATAGCATTCAGTGCTGTACTGATAACTTAAATGATGTTCCTCTTCTTTTGTCTTCTCTGAGAGTGCCATCAGGGTTATGTAATAATATGATGGTGTTTGAGAGAATGAGATTCATACTCAGATAAACCTAGGTTCAAGTTCTAACTATGCCACGTCCTAGTTGCAAGACTTAATGTGAGCTGGTAATTTCTCTAAGCCTGTGATTCCTCTTGGGGGGCCTAATTATTCCTCCCTCATGAGTTTGTTGTGGGGATTAAATGTGCTAATATACTTGAGGTGCTTAGCATGGTACCTAACATATAATAATACCCTCTAATGGTAGCTATTATCATTTACAAAATTTATCTACTAAACTTTATTCTGTCTGTTTTGTCTGTTTTTCATTTTGTGCATCTGTATGTGTGTATATGTTTTCTTTACAGATGGATATACCACTGACGACATTGAGTTTTACTGGCGTGGGGAAGATAAAGCAGTAACTGGAGTAACAAAGATCGAACTTCCACAGTTCTCCATTGTAGATTACAAACTCATCACCAAGAAGGTTGTTTTCTCCACAGGTTTGTATCAGGGAAGAGGATTAAGGTAAAAGAGTCATCATCCTTTATAAACAGGGGTCACTTATTTCTGGATCGGGTCCCCGGGAAGGATAGTGACTCTAGAAGACTGAGATCTGCTGAAAACCCTCACGTCCCCATCAAGTTCATTGCTCATTTGCAGCTCATCCAGTTATTTTCCTGAAGGCACCCCAACAGCGCTGAGAGGCTTAGCGCTGTGTCTCTCATTGACCATCATTGTCGTAGACAGAATAGAGAAAGAAATGAAGACTCGGGTCAGTTGTTCCCCTGATTTCATGCATCTCACAGAATTGATCCTCATTCTTTCAAACGCTCTGGGAATAAACCAAGTCACAGTTCACTCAAGTCTGACCACAGCGAAAGAGAGTAGGAGAATTTCACATTTCCCCCGGAGGACAGGAATTGCTTTATGTAGTGTGCCCCCTGTTTTGCAGGTAAACACCCTTCCAGATCATGAACTTATCCTGATGCCTTTGCTGCCCTTACTCGGCTCGAATTGAGGTTTTTAGCTTGTCAAACTTGGTATCATCAGCACAAATTTTTAACAAGAAAGCCCAGTAAAGTGGTAATTTACTACATTGTTCATTAAAGGAAAAAATAATAAGCCCACAGAAATATGTCTCATGGAAGTGAATCCTGTACAAGGAAATAGCCTTATAACTAAATTTTGAGATTCTCCTCTGATTCAGGTACTTCCTGTCCCTACAAATAACTTCAGGCAAGAGTTGCATAACAGTGTAGCTTTTTGCTGTAAAAAAAGAACAATAATAACTGAAACTTTTCCTAAGTATGAAGTTCTTTGAATTGCTAAAACTCTGTAGAAATGAGTTCCTACATAAAATACTTTTACTTTCACATTAAGACATGATTTATCATTGTGAACTGTTTATGTTCTAAGGCTGTGATATGTTACATATATCATCTAAAGTGTAAACCCCAGATCACCACAAAGGACCCCTCTTCAGGAATGTGATGCTTTAGATGTATCTCCTACAGATATTGCTCAGGAATAGTGATTCTCCATCTTTGAGTAGGTCAGGGATGCCTTTTGGAACAAGGGTGGGGAACCTTTATTTCTGCCAAGGCCATTTGGATATTTATGACAGCATTCACAGGCCACAGAAAATGATCAACGTAAAAATTAACCTGCTCTTTTTGGTCAAACATGTAATTAACTCACCATAATGCCTTGACAGGGCCAGACCAAATGATTTTGTGGGCCCATGGGCTAACATTTCCCACTCCTGCTTCAGAACTTTGATCAATACACTGATTTTAGAAAAAAAAGTAATGCCTACACTTGAAAACCACCCTGAAAATTCAGGGAGTTGTTGCATTGCCTGAAGTACAGACTTGATCCAGACTTAAAACCATACTGGGGCTTTGTGTGTGAAGAACTAGCCATCCTTTACTAGCATCAGGGTATGCAGCCTGATTCTGATATCAAAAAAAAAAAAATCTTAACGGGTGGACTTGCTGAAAAACAATTGAGGGGGACAAAAGGACTGTCCCAAATTGTCTTATCATCACAGCTGTAGATGAGTACTTTTTGATCCAGTACATGAGCCCAAGCAGAGAAAACTGGGAATTCTTTTAATGACTGATGACTGTGGGATGTAATCAATAGGGAGTAACTCTTGCTAATTAAAAACAAAGTGTTCTCAAACAACTTTTGTAGAAGAAAGTCCTTGCTCTTCACCAGGAGCTAGATTTGAATTTAGGAAAATATACAGACTATCTAGGGGCCTTTAAAGGAAAGTATCCTACGAGTATAGAATGCTAATGATGATGTTCTAAAATTGCCTTTCCAGGTTCCTATCCCAGGTTGTCCCTCAGTTTTAAGCTGAAGAGAAACATTGGGTACTTTATTCTGCAAACGTATATGCCTTCCATCCTGATCACTATCCTCTCCTGGGTCTCCTTCTGGATTAATTACGATGCTTCAGCTGCAAGAGTGGCATTAGGTAGGCCATTTTCTGTCTGCCTGCAGAGTTTGACTCATGCGTGAGTGCGTGGGTGCATGGGTGCATGTAAGTGCGCGCGCGCGCGTGTGTGTGTGTGTGTGTGTGTGTGTGTGTATGTGTGTGTGTATGCATGCGTGTGTGTGCGTACGCGTGCATTTGTGTCCAGAAACGCACTTTTCTTCCCTGGAATTTGTAACACATGATGAAACCAGACTGCACACATTACAAGGATTTGACTCTGAGACTTTGGATGATCTGATTCAGCGTTAAATCAATTAAACACATATTAAAGCTCTTTCATGTCAAAATTAGTTAACTAGATAGCTGTTGGTAATGTAATTAGTCCCATCCGTGCGATATTTTTATTGAAGCATAATTCATGTAATATCATTTGATAATTATTAAATTTCTATCTGTGCTTCTTTACCTGGGAAGATGTCCCTCCCATCTTTTTGTTTTCTGAGAAAAAAAAATAGGAAAATGTAGTTGTGTAAAAAGTAGCTAAGCAGAAAGAAGTCTAAAGTCTTATGAATATTTTGGACTGACATGGCAGGGGACAGGAGAAAACCAAGCAAAAATTTCGGGAAATAATCTATAGCATCAGTTATCTAATGTTTGGTTTTTCTTTTGTTATACAACCACAGAGATATAATAAATTCTATTTCATGGACATTTTTATGTTGCAAACTCCAGATATGGTAAATTTATGACCTTCTACACAATCTTTATTATTTTGAGTTCTAACTAATTCCTTTCAATTTTGAAATGTTAACTTCTCCACCATGATATCTCAATGCAATTGTTACTTCCTTGGAGAAGTCATTTATTTATTCATTCAACAAGTACTTGTTGAATGCCTACTATGTGCCATGCCAGATACTCTCGGCACTGGAGATGAATCTGCCCTTCTGGAAGTTATGTTCCAGCAGCAAAAGATAGACAATAAATTGAATAGCCATGCAAATTATATAATATGGTAAGTCTATTGCAGGAAATAAGCAAAGGGAGGTTGGTGATGCCAGGGTGTACAGTGTAGAATAATCAGGGTAGAGCATACTCAGAAATTGTCAATGGAACAGACTTGAAGAGGATGAAAAGCCACAGTTATCTGGATAAGAATATTCCAGGCCATGAGTACATCAGTGAAGTGGCAGCGAGGCAAATGCTGAGGGAGCTCAGGAACTAGGACAGTGTGTGTGAGAGGGGATGAAAATATTACAAGGTGTTTTGGGGGCCATGATAAAGGCTTCACTTTTATGCTGAGCAACAGAGTTTTTGAGCAAAGAGGTAACATGATTTGATTTCAGTTTTGAAGGAATCACTTTGGCTGCTGGGTTGAGCTTAGATTGTAGTAGTTCTGGGAAGGAAGGGAGAGTAATGACCTACTGTTCTGAGTCAGGTCCCTGTGCCTTAACCTCTTAAAGTGCTAGAGAGCTTTCCTCTGTAGGCCAGCCACTGTTATGCATTCTTTTGGTTTGTGATGTCATTTTCCTCCTGGTACTGGAAGATCCTTTGGAGAAAGGTCAATATCTAATTTTGCTTCCATTACATCTATAGTGTCTCTCATAGAAAATGATGTTCAGTAAATATTTGCTGAGTAAAGGAATGAATGAAATTTGTAAATATCTATTTCAAAGTGAATATTTGTTAACTATTTTATGTCTATAATAGGAATAATAAGTAATTTACTTACTTCTTTATATAAATTTTATTTCATTTTTTTCTATCACTATTTATCCCTTCTATAGCCCCTTCCACCCCACTCTCCACCACTGCAATCACCACACTGTTGTCCATATCCATGAGTTCTCACTCTCTTTATTTTTCCCCCAATTCATCCATCTTCCTGTGTGAATAATTCATTACTAGGTCAGAAATGCCTTAAAATGAGATTTAGATAAATAGTAAAATCAGGATTGTCAGTTTTATGATATACATGACATACAGGTGGTTGACATAAAGAAGAGAAAAATAAAATTGGGAAATGCTTCAAAAAGATTAATATTGTAATAAAAAAGAAAAATCTGAGAATTATAAGACACCTACCTCTAAAGCAAGTCCAGGGTTTTTCTGGTCTTGTTCAGAATCAGGTGCTAAATTTTTTTTTTCTGCTAAGCCAGTGTTTCCCAGTGGTTGAGCATCAACTCCTGCACCAAAAGGTTACTGGTTCAAATCCTGGTCAGGCCACAGGCCTGAGTGGTGGGCTCGATTCCCAGTGAAGGGCATACAGGAAGCGGTTGATAGATGTTTTTCTTTCATTGATGTTTCTATTTCTCTCCCTCTCTCTCCTTCTCCCTTTTTCTCTGTTTAAAATCAATTTTTAAAAAAAGCATATTTATTAAAACATTATTTTTTCTATATTTGTTTTAGGATCATGTATAAAAACAAGACAAAAATTATAATCTTATTAGAGAGAGAAAATTAAATCACGAAACTTACGTTCCAAAAAAATTTCATAGAAATGAAACTTAACTTCTGGGATGTGTTAACTAGGTAGTGTTTAAGGACACAGGTTTCTGAGTCGGAGAGGTCCCTGTTCACATGTTTACTGCCTAACCTCCCACCTGTGAGATCTTGACTCTGAGCTCTGCCTATTTTCACAAGGAATTTATCCTACTCGGGACTCTGGACCCCGTGCTTTTTCCTGTGTAGCAATGTCTACCCCTCCAATTACACCGTTGAGGGAGACTACTCCCCCCAGTTAGAGGTGCTTACACAGCTAGATGAATAATTATAATTATAAATGCCAATCTTGTAATACTTCTGTATAATTTATCTGTGTATTACATGCCTCGATGCCCAACCTAGGAACATGAAGGTTAGATTTCAACTTCTCTATTATCCTCCTCTGCAGTTTCTACATTTTTACAATCCTTTGTCCATCTCATCTATAAAATGCATTGATTGATTTTTCTACTGTTGTAATTATTTTATTTCCCCTTTCTAACAAATTATTCTGGGGGGGGGGGGGAACACTCTTAAAGAGTGTTCTTTATTCCTGTCTTGTATGCTTCACTATATCCACCCCCATAGCTATCAGAGTGACTATCATAAACACAATTTGTCCCTATATCTTCCTGTTCCAAACTGGCCAGTGGCCCCACATTGCCTATAATTTCAAGTTCAAATTCCTCACTAGGCTCTGTATATATGACCCTCCATGAAGTAGCTCTTATTTAACCTTCACTCTCCTCACCATTCTTCCCACCATATCCTCACGTACCCATATTGACTTTTTGAGAGTCTTTCAGTGAACTGTATACCTTCACTCCACACAGAAAGCTCTCTCCACCACCAACGCCCTTACATCTAATTTTAACTTCACTTTTGACCTTCAGTTCTGAGTTGTCTGGATGACTCCCACTCATTCCTCAAAATGGAGCTCCAAAAATCTGTGTTTCCTCTATATTCTCAACACACAACCTACCAGTATCTAACACAGCAGCATTTAATTCACTTTTTAACCCCCTTCCATTAGATATATAACTGTAATATGTACATATAACTAAAGGAGGATTGTAAATAATTAATGTTTATGATAAATAGATAATTTGTGCATATCTCCATGGCCTGTCACAGAGCTGGGCTATAATAAGTGCCCAGTAAATAGTTTGTGGCATATATGAATGACTAAAAGAGCACAGTAATCTTTCCAGCTGTAATGAGAGCAGCAAGGACACCGGAGCATTATTATTCTAACTCTCTTTTTTTCTTTTTCCAGGAATTACAACTGTCCTTACAATGACCACCATCAACACTCACCTCCGGGAGACTCTCCCTAAAATCCCCTATGTGAAGGCCATTGACATGTACCTGATGGGGTGCTTTGTCTTTGTATTCATGGCCCTTCTGGAATATGCTTTGGTCAACTATATCTTCTTTGGGAGGGGACCCCAACGCCAAAAGAAAGCAGCCGAGAGGGCAAGCGCCAACAGTGATAAGATGCGCCTGGATGTCAACAAGGTAAATTTGGGGGCAGGCCTTCCTTGCTTCTTAAACTCATAGAAGAATGCCAGCAATATAGGCCAAAGGTCTTGCTTAGCAAATAAGGAAACCATGGCCCATGGAAGGGAATGGGTAATTTTCCACAAATCATGAAGATAATTAGCGATGGAGGCACAATTACAGTCCAAATCTGTGACACATTTAGATGCCCTTTACCTTAACCCTAGGGTTGCCAAGACCACAGTCACCTGAAAACCACCTTTGTGACATTTTCAATATATGAGTATGATGTGTGCTATTATTTACGTTATATCTCTTTAATTTTACTCACATTATTTAAATTTATTTAAAAAGGAAATTTCATATCACATAAATCAGTATTACTTGCTAAAAGATAAGCTTAGGTATAAATAAATAAATAAATAAATAAATAAATAAATAAATAATTTAATGATGTGATTAAATACTAGGCTATACTAGATGCAGGCTCTGGGCCTGAGCTCTACATGTTCTTGGGAGATAAGCAAGTACAGAGATGTATTTAAGACTTACCAGCAGCAAACTGAGACTTCCTGTTTGAAGTCATCAGAAGAAGCAGGGGAGGGGGGGGCAGGGAGAAGGAGAGAAAAGAATCATTTTCTCCTTAAGTGACAGATAATTACTGAATGCCTTGCACATGTGCCACTTAAAATCACTGAAGCATTTGGCTTCAGGAGGCCACTATCTTGCTTACATCAGGCATAGGCAAAGAATAATTCCCAGTTGTAAACGGGTTCATTCTTTAAGGCAATAATTCTCAGCCTTCAGCGCCTGGTTGAATGACTGGGGAGCAGTAAAAATACTGAAGGCTGAGTTTCTTCCCCAGAAATTCTGATTTGATTGCCCTGGGGTATGCCTGAGCATCGTGGTTCAGAGTTGTTGGAACCAGGAAGACAGTAATCCTTTTAAACCTATGGAACTGTTAACCATACCACTGATTATTTAATTGATGTTCTAATATTTGGAACATCAGTTTAATTCCAAGGATGGAAGACCATAAATAACATCTGTCATTGAGTTTTATTTGGAACAAATCCAGTGAAAGCTGCTGGCTCACTAATGTAGCCACATATCCATAGGTCTGATGATTGATGGACTATTCTCTAACCAAAGGCAGTCCTTTCCTGGGTGACGTTATTTGTAAGGATGCAGATCTTCAGTATGGCCCTGGAAAGCCAATGAACCAAAGTCTGGGAAACTGTCAGCTTCTTTCCAGTGTCTGAGGTTTCATTTATTGAAAACTGTCAATAGATTCTAATGTAGCATTGTGGTTCTCGGGCTGTGCCATTTAAACCATTTTATGATTGTCCTGATACAGTGGCCTTAATAAAGAAAAGAAAATGAATAAATAAATAAAAACTATCTCATAGCCCTGCCATTTGAAATGAGTCTAAATCAATTGCCTAATGCATAGCTGACTAAATACCATCTGATCTTTTTTCACTTTCATATCTCCAATTTTTTTAGACCAATTTGCATTTAAATGACAAATTTAAGACCCAGAGAGTGGCATTTTGACAGCAAACTGATGGTTTTAAATTCAGGGGACTGAGATGGAGGTGAAAAAACTGGTCCTCTTGGCTGCCAGTGGACCCACAACACAGAATATAGAATATGAGAGAACAATAGACATACCTCGACTTCTGGTGCAGTGACCAAAACACAGGCAGTCATGCCCAGGGATCTCAGGGCATGCAGACATTATGGGGTATCAAAAAAGGGGGGCAGGGGATTGCTTCTGGTCCTTAGTGAGTAGATCCAGGCCAGGGATGCTGCTGAACAGTGATGGTGTATCATGCAGCTCCCCCATAACAAAGAATTGTCCCTCCCAGCATGTCAGTATCACCCAGCTAAAGACCCCTGCTCTAGTCCAATTCCCTGATTTTAAGTATGAGAAACTGAGCCCAGAAACAATGTTTGTCTTACTCTTAAACTCTCTAAGACAAGTGATTTCTGCACTTTCTTTGATCACCAAGCATAGCATCAGCACAGCAGGAGTTACCATGTAGCACAATGTTAGTGAAAAAATATTTTGAGGCCAAGTGCAAGACTTACTCTCTGTTTAATAGCTGTGTGACAATAGGCAAAAGAAAATGATTCTCACTAACCTTCAGTTGCCCCATCGGTAAAATAGGGTTAATTCCTCTTTCATAGTCTTTTATGAAGAGTGTTTTTGATACTGTATAGAGTGTAACATAGTCCCCCAGTATATGGTATGCACTCAGTAAGTGGAAAAATATTAAAATGTTATAAACAGTAGATATTATCCATCCAGGCCTGTTGGCAAAGCTTGTTTATGTATTTTTCATGAATAGCATATAGGATGCAGTCCCAACCCTAAAAGAGGGAATCATCTGCGGAGAAATGTTTCAGGTCAGAAGTTGTCCAGTCAAAGCAAGGAAATCATGTATCACCAGCAGGTATTAGCTTTAAAATCCACAGCACATGAACTACTTCAAACTTTATCAGTCATTTCTTAGATCAGAATGTACACAGCTGCCTTGATTAGATTAAGACAAAAAGGTGACCGGCTAGCCTTCCAGATGCCCCTGGTTTCCTTTTGACCCCAACATGAAAGATTAGGGAGACCCACATTGGGCTCTGACTATACAGAGCTTTCTTTTGTGCAAATTGTGCCATCTTTTTTTTTTTTTTTTTAATCAATAATGTCCCTTTTTTTTGAGCTGTAATTCTTAGGTTATTTTTTGTTGTCCAAAGATGGGGCACCTATAATCAGCTAAGTGTTGTTGGCTGCTTTGGAAAAATCAGTCAGTAGTCAGGGGACTGGCTTTTTCATGTTCCTCTTGATGGTTTCCTAGAGATGGGAGCTGCAAGTCAGCTCATCCAAAGTGAGCCTTACACTGTGCTCTGCGCTGAGGTCAGGGAGGAGGGGAAGTGGAAGCCCGGCCATGCAGGAGCCCAAGGCACGCTTTCACATTTTCCATCTCTTCTCTGTATTGACTTCCTGTGAGTCTTTATTTTCACCTTAAAAAAAAAAACTCACCTGTATACATGAGAGTCCGTGACTGGCAAGCAATGTCACTTTCCAGTTGTCTTCAATGTGACAGATTAAATTGCAAAATACTAAGATTTTTAAAATAAATCTCAAATTAACAAGAGGTCTACTTAACATTTCTTTTTCCCAAGTGTCTTCTAGAGAGATAAAAAATAGAAATAAAAGTCTCTCTCCTAATGTTAGAAGAGTCCTTCCTATTATCCATTGCATTCTCCTATTTGTGTGTGTGAGTGTGTGTGTGTGTGTGTGTGTGTGTGTGTGTGTGTGTGTGTTTCCTTATACAATTTGCTTTGGGTTAAAGTTATAAACTTTTCTTGCTTATGTCTTTAAGTTTTCAGTTCTCTTTTTTGCATTTAAGTTTTATGTTGTTTATTTGTCTGCTAATAACTGAGTATATACATATTTGAGAATTTAGTTACTCCTGCCTTTCCACCACGTTGATTCTCACATACCTGAAATGCCTCCAGTAGCATTATTTTTAAGAGACCCATAGCCATCAGTTCTTCAAGTAAAGCTGCACCAAAAATACTTCTAGTGGGGGGCATTCTTCACTCTGCATTTTCTCCATTTATTGTGTCTATATTGTCTTTATCCATTGTGCCTAATTTTGTGTTATACAAAGCCACTAACACCTTTTAAATCTATTTATTTCTTGGGCTGGGAATTAGTTTTTTTAATATATTAAAAAGATACAAGTAATTAGAAGTCCTATTCTCTGTGATCATCAGTCTTTCTAAAGACCAATAGTATTTATCTATATATAGTTTTACTTTAACCACCAATCTTCATCTAGTGGCATCAGTCAATTTAATTAGCACATTCTCTACTTTGTCTTCCAGATTTTTTATAAAGATATTAAACAAAATGGGACCCAATATCGATCCTTGTGGGACCCAACTGGAAACTTCTCCCCAACTAGACGGACTACCAATTACGATTTCTCTCTATATACGGTTAGCTAGCCAGTTTTTAATCCATTTATTTGTATTTCTGTTGGGGACAATTTGCTTAGCTGTTCCCTTTTACATAATGTATGCATTCTTTGCAGATAACCTATGGACTTGAATCCACAGAAATGTGGGAATAAGTTAAACGTTTTTGTGCGACCCTGATAGGGTTTTTCCAGGTTTGCTTTTGTAAAATACAGTGACGATGAATCTAAGCTTCAGTGTTCCATTTGGTCAAGATTGTTGTGCTAGAGAAAGAAACCAAGTGGATCATATCTTGAGATTCCTGTTCATGGTACTGAGAGGGTAGTATCATCCCATACTCTGCCATTCCTGAGGGCTCTTGTGTCTTTGGGTGAGTGGAATAGGTGAAGAAGAATTGTGCATTTCTCCTGTTGGCTGGCTCAGAACTGAGGAACTTGTTTTTGTCCAAGATTATGAATTTGTGCCTAGGGATGTTATGTTTGCATCAAGTCCTTGTTGCTTCATTGTTACTTATTTTACAAATAAGTATTATCTTGTCAGACCCAGCACTATTTTATTGATAGAAAGGAGGCAGTGATTGAGATTGTTCTGCATCAAAACTCTTGAATGAAATTTTCCAAAGAAAGCCTATTTTTGACTACTACTGAGAGTTTAGTTTCTGAGTTTTCGTGTTTGCAATTCTTAATTGGCAAATTGTCATTCATAATGACCTCCATATTGGAGGAGGAGCAAGAGGAGGAGGAGGAGAGGAGAAGGAAGAAAAGGATGAAGAAGAAGATGATGATGATGATGATGATGATGATTGTCACCATTTTACTTTATCACACATTCCTACTCCAGCTTTTTAAAATTTCTACTTCTTGGCAAGGCAGTGAATGATATTAAATGCTTGTGAATCTTTCTTACGAGGGCTTGATGCCAGATGAGCTGTCATTATTGTATCTTCTGAGTATCAGGTTCTTCCTTAATTTTATTGCCCTAACCTCAAATTCCTCGGTACTCATTATTGTTGCTCTTGGGGTGAGGAACAA